TTGTTGTTGCTATTTTTGGGTGTAACCCTTGTGTACACTTTCGTTCCACCTCATGTACCACATGTGATGTGAATGACAATAAAGAACCTTGGAATATCACCAGAAAGGTTTTAGTAATGGTCAATATTCATCAATGGTCTTTATGATTCAGACTGGTGTTTCTGCTCTCTGACTGGTGAAAATGGGAACTATAGATGTTAGACGTGACACATCTGGTAATAATAACTCTACATGCAGCCCTGATGACAGTAGTCTGCTCTGGCTGAGAAAAGAGTGCGTACTTTAGCAGAAAGAGCTTCTGCTGCTGGAGTTGGTGCCTCATCTGAGAGTGTTTTGGGACAATTCTGGTAAATTTGAGAAGCAACCGCAAATGTCCAAACCAGTTTTTGTCAGTTCTACCAAATTCCTCCAGAAGACTTCAAACCACTGATCCAAGCTTTCTAGATTGGCTTGGACGACGGCAGATCCCTACATGATGACCTTCACCCGATCACCTGCAGACTGTTCAAGAAGGTCCGACAACATCCCCCCAGGTTTACATCAGCTGCCTGTTCATTTCCATCCTGGTTTTAAAATTATTTTTCCAACCTTTAAGGTTTTAAATGATTTATATTTTACAATTTCATAATCCTAAAACTGAAAGGAGACCTTCCAGCCAGATGTTTTCGAGCAGCTGGAGACTAAATTTTGGCACAGATTGGGATTTTACTGTAGCAGCCCCCAGACTCACCTCTTCATTTTGCTTTTTTAAATTTGAGTTCAGACTTCTACTTTGTGGCATTTCTTTGATTTAGTTAGTTTTAGTTTTACTTTTCTTGCATTTGTTGATTTTTATTGTTTATTTAATTGATGGCTTTTCTTGTTTTAGCCATTTTGTAAATCCCCTTGTTGTTTATAATTTCACAGAAATGAAACGGACACGACCTTGACCTCAGCGGTCAGTGCAGAAATAACTGGTGTCAAAAAAAGGACTGGTTCTGTACCAGAACTGGAACTTCCTGTTTGTGTTGCTTTGAGATTTATGGCTGTCTTCAAGAATTGCGTGTTTACAACCATTTTTAAAGCTAATCTAACTAAATTGATGTAAAAGTCTCATCATTTTGCTTAAAATATGCAGCAAATACAAAAAAAAAAAAAAAAAAACATGTCTAAAACCAGGCTGTATCAGATGTATTTTGTGCTGGTGGCATTTCATATTTTATCCAAAACAAATGAGACATTAAAAAGCAGGAAAAACTGTCAGCTTGGGAAAGAGAGGAATAACATTTCCTCATTACAGTGTGCTGCACTGGGGTGTGTTCTGGGCCCTGATTGATTATTTAGGAGTAAGAAACGTGAAGCAGAAGGGAACGGATTAGGTTCTTTATGCGTTTGGCTGTCAGGAACTTTTTTCATGCTACCGACATAACGTGAGCCAGAGAACAAAAGCCCCCTGCAATGCAGCACAAACTGTAATTAGTATTTCAAACAAGAGTTTCTGTGTGTGTGCGTGAATGAAACGAAAATTGTCGGCGTGAAGAAGAGTTGGATGCAGCTCCTTGTTTCTCAGAGTCACAACAGACTGCAGCTAATAAATCTGAGAAAAACGACACCTTAATTCCCTCTTAATGCTTGATTAGGAAGCAGTGAGCTGAGTGCACACTCAACCCGCCACGCTAACTCACACACAAGCACGCCATCGCACACCCGATCAGCCACAGAGGAGCAGCAGGGCCCAGCCGCCCAGACATGAGAAGAGAAGGAGGCAGAGTGATGGAGGTGGGGGGTAAAGCGTCATTAAAGGGTTAATGTCGGCCTCCCTGAAGCATCAAGAACACATCGTGGTGGGCTCATTGTGTTCAGCTGTTCTTGGAACACGTTTACTGTAAACTTCAGTCGCTGCTTCGGTCCAGCAGCAGGAAACATGAAGCTGCTGATAAATGTGCGACCAACACCCTCTGCTCTCTGCACTGGACGAGCTTCATTAACCCACCGCCGCATCGAAGGAAAACCCCCCGCCATTTTTAACCCCAGCTCCGTCTTTGTTTATTTTCTGAATCAGAATCTTTAAAACTGAACTCCGAGTGAAAGTCTTTTAATGATGACTGGGAAACGGCTACAGGTTGAAATAATGAGGCAGACGTCGAAGGAACGGCAAAGAAAATGTGCCTGCTTTGGACTGAGAGGCTCCGGCTGTTAGTTTAGTTAAAGGTGCAGGACATTAATATGAAAGAATTGCTTTCCTGTGAATAAAAGATCTGCTGTTCGGTGAGCGTCAAGGAGCAGTGATACAAACAGAGCAGCTGAGAGACAAACAGGATGCCAGGGCTGTGTGACAATTACAACGACAAAGCTGAAAGGTGGCATGTATGTATATATATATATATATATATGTTGTAGACTTCTATTCTGACCAAGAATAATAAATCAATTCAATAAAGTAATAATTGTAATAATACAATTGTTGAGAGGGGCTTCCAGTAACTCTGGATAAGCATGGACTCTACAAGCAGCATTTTAACGACACAAACTTATACCATACTTTTTGGCTTTTAAGTCGCGGTTTGTTGCATAATTTGCATGCCCTGCGTTTTATACTCCGAAGCAACGTATTTATGGATTTTTCCATATTTATAAACCAATTTTTGGCTGAGACATGACCGTTTTCATTCATTCTGACTAAAAATAATGAACGCTACCATTTTCAGCCGCTAGAAGCCACTCGAGTTATATGGCATGCCATTGTGTCATGTAATAGGTAAAAGTGGCTATTAATGACACAATCGGCTTGCCATATTCTGCCACCGTTGTCCAGTTCGCCTGGAGAAAATGTCAAATCAGCTTCATTCAGCTGCGCTGCCCCGACAAAATGCAGCTGATTTGACCACTGAAGTGCATTTATTAAGAAAAAGTTAGACTGAGACACAACTTTCTATAATTTCGAGCAAACAAATAATTGTTTTTAGGTGGTTATCTTAGTAAATTGCAAAGAAATGCACAGCGACTCATCCCTCTGCGCGTTCCAGCTTCTGCATATCAGCTTTTGAAAATGCAGTGGACTTGACTGTCATAGTGCATTTATCAAGGACAAGTTCAACTGACACACACCTTTACTATAATTCTGAGCAAACAAATGATTGTTTTTAAGTGTTAATCTGGTTAAATTCTTGTTAAAGTCCTCCCGTGCACGCTCCTGCGACCGCCATTTGGCAGCCAATCGATTTTTGGCACAACACTGGCCCACATTTCCAGGTTGTCAACGGTGACACGTAATAGATGAGACGTATTTAAATTTTTCCACTTTATTAGAAATATTTGAACTGATGCGACTTATAGGGCGGTGTGACGTGTATGGCAAAAAATATAGTATTTGTTGCACTTTCATGTTGTTGTTGGATGTTTTGAGAAACGTGTGACTAAAAAAAACAACCCCTCAGGGTCCGTTTATCAACAAGTCTCTGACTTTTGTTTCCTTAAACCTCCTTCTGTTTGTAGATTCAGGTGATCAGACATAAAATGTCCTCTTGTAGCTGTTTGTGTCTCTTCAGCTCAGCAGGAAGTGAAGCAGTTTAATCAGGGGGAATTGAACCGAGGACTCCCCACTGCGAGCATCTGTCTCTGACATCCGGGCCTGTTGGGTCGCCTCTTTTTATGACTATTTTACACAGACAGATGAAACGTATGCATCTTTGTGTGCGTTAGGTTTCATCTGGAGTGGAGGACTCGTGAGTTGGACAGATGGTTTTCAGACACATTTGTTGAAAAGAGAAACGGAGCGTGGCGACAGCTCCTTTTTCTCAGGTTCTGCCTCTGCTTTAGCTCTGATTTTATGCTTTAATTTCTGATTCTTTTAGTCAGATCTGGGGATTAATGGGTTATTTTATTGTAACTTGTATTGATTTTGTGTTTTGTGTTTTACATACAAAGTATTTTTGTATTTGATGCGTTATTGGTAAATGTACAATTACTCTGAACTTTTACTCAACCTAGGGTAAAACTATCCGAGTAAAACCTCAAGAACCAATGGTAAAAAATTTAATAAAATTTAAAAGAAACACTACATATTTTTATTTGAGACACTTGTCAAACTGCAATAAAAGCTCAGGAAAGAAAAAAGGAGATATTAAAGCAGAAACAGTAAGCAGGGGTGGAGCTACGGGTGCACCTGGGGGGCCCAAATCCCATCCTTCTCCTTCTTTCAGCTGCTCCCTTCTTCAGGGGTCGCCACAGCGAACTAACTCACACGAAGACTTGGCAATCGTTTTTACTCCGGATGTCCTTCCTGACCAACCACAGACCACCGAGCTACCGCAGCCCTCTGTGTGGAGCAGAGAGCTGCCATCTAGGGCACACGGGGGAGCAGATGGTTGGGGTTAAGGGCCTTGCTGAAGGGTCCAGAGTGGGGAAAATGAGAGGAGGCAGATGTGGGTGCTTCCTTTCCCACCCACATTTTGATGTTGTCAGTCAGAGGAATTGAACTGGCAACCTTATGATCACAGGCCCACCTTCTTTAACCTCTGCGCCACCACTCCCACCGGGCCCACAGCCGATCCAATCTACCTAAATTTATCTTTATTATTATTATTATTTTTACAGTTATAGTATTGTCTGTTTTTATTAAACAGAAAAATAAACGTTCACATTTTTAATAAATTCCATAATCTTCCTAAACCTTTTACTCAACACTTCGCAGAGTATAATTCTCAAGTTTTATCTTGTTTCTGGACTTATAATACGGTGGGACAGAGGTTAAACTGTCTCACGTCATCAAGACATTCGTAAGTTTGCCTCCTGGCCTGTCTCAGTGGAGTTTACATGCTCTCTCGCTGCTGTGTGGGTTTTCTCTGGTTTCCTCCCACAGAACAAAAACATGCACGTTAGGCTGATGGGTAACTCTAAACTCATCCACTGTCCCTGGATGTGAGTGGCAGGGAAAGCGAGTAAACAAAATTCTCAAAATATACAAAAGTTGTTGTTTCTTTAACATTAAACCGTAGATTAGTTTAATCTCCTCTTCTCACCTGTGTTGTAGTGCTTGGTGCAGTAGCGCAGGTCCTTCTCTTCTTTGAGTATAAACTGAGGTAACGTCAGGCCGTCGGCCACCTGCACGGCTCCTTTCTCGTCCCACTCGAATATGAGGTCGTTCATGGTGTATCCGACTGGAGGAGGGGGCAGAGAGCAGCTGGTTAGACTGGGAGCATGGATTGTACAGGGAGAATAATCTCTGTGCACCTGGCTGTGGAGGGCGAGGTTAAGCTGCTGCAGTGGTACGAGGCTTTGCCAGATCAATATCAACGTTTTAACGTGTGGAAGCCAGGCAAAAGTTTTAAACCATGCTCTGTTTCCTTTAGAAGAGGGGTTATGTGAAAACTCAAAGTGAAGTTGTACTTATAGTTTAGAGAGAATTCTGTTTTTTATTTCAAAAAGTGGTGAATTAAACTCTGAGTTAAACCCGCTTACTGGCAGATTTTCACTTTAAAACCCAGAGTCCTGTTACCTGAAGAGAGACGTCTGAAATGGGTTTCCTCACTTGGAACCAATTCAACTAAACCTAGAAAAATAAATACTTCATACAATCTGACACTACTCATCCGTTTGAATGACATCACTTTTCATCAGACTCACTCTTAAATCAGTTAAATTCACCAGCGTGCACCCACATCAAAACTCATTTTAGACAAAAAGTCCAGTATTCCTGTTTGTGTGGAACTGGTTCTGACAGAGTTGAACCATTTCCCCTACAGGACCCTAAAGAATCCATTATTATTATTTTTAGTAGTAGATGTAGTACAAGTAGTAATAGTTGTAAGTAGAATAATAGTTATTGTAGGGAAGGTTGTAGTAACATTAGTTGTTGTTACAGTAGAGTATTAGTAATTGTAGTAACAATAGTAGTACAGTGGTTCCAATAGTAGTTGTTGAAACCGTAAAAGTAATAGTAGTTGCTGTAGTAGTAGAATTAGTAGTTTTAGTTGTTGTTTCAGTAGTAGCTGCAGTAGTGGCAACAGTTTTAGTAGTAACAGTAGTAAAGTAGTTGAAGTAATATTAGTTCTAATAGTAGTTGTAATGGTAAGAGTGGTAGTAGTTGTAGTAATAGTAGATATATCATTTTTAGTTGTTGTGATAGTAATACTAGTAGTTTTAGTAGTAGTAGCTGCACTGGCAACAGTTGTAGTAGTAATCCTAGTACATTGTAGCTGTAGTTGCAGTAATAGCAGTAGTTCTATAGTAGTTGCAATAGTAAAAGTGGTAGTAGTTGTACTAATATTAGAAATATAATTTTTAGTTGTTGTGATAGTAATACTAGTAGTTTGAGTAGTAGCTGCACTGGCAACAGTTGTATGGTAGTTGTAATCGTAGTAGCTGTAGTTGCAGTAATAATAGTAGTTCTAATAGTAAAAGTGATGGTACTACTGTTTTTGTAGTATAATTAGTAATTAGGAGTAGTAGTAGTAGCTGTAGTGTCAACAATTGTAGTAGTAGTAGTAGTAGTAGCAGTTTGAATAGTTGTTGCAATAGTAAAAGTGGTAGTAGTTGTAGTAATAGTAGACATGGATTTGAAGTTGTAGTAGTAGTAGTAGTACTAGTAGTAATAGTTGTTGCAGGAATAGTGGCAGTTCTAATAGTAGATGTAATAGTAAAAGGGGTAGTAATTGTAGTATTAGTAGAAATAGTAATTGTAGTTGTTGTGGTAGTAATATTATTATTATTAGTAGTAGTAGAAACTGTTTTTGTAGTTGTTGTGGTAATAATAGTAGTGGTAGTAGTATCTCCATCTCTTCTTGCAGCCTTGTGGACTTTTCCTTCAAGTGTACACGAGAACACCTTCACACAAACGGCTCTCATTAAATATTAATTCCTGATGTCTCACGTCCAAACTGATGAAAACTACGTCTCTGATAAAAAAAAAAAAAAACTAAAGTTGTGACTTGGACACTGAATGTTCAGAACGTTCAGGACTCCAGAATGTTCCTGCAGGCAGAACCCTCTCAGTTCTGGTGTTGTATCTGATCGCTGGATGTTTGCTGACCTCTCCTCGATGTTCTGACAAGAACTCGGTGGACCCGTTGTGTGATTCGCCTCACGTCTGATCAGAGTGAAAAGACTGCGGAGAAATCTATACCTGCCATGGCTGCGATTGATTGACTGATGCCCCTGTCCCTGTGTGTGTGTGTGTGTGTGTGTGTTTGAACACGCACAGCTCTCCAGTTGCATGATGCACGTCTGGACATCCATCGGGAAGTTCTTCAGATCCATCGGACAGGCCAGAACCAGAGTTATTCTGCAAACACACAAACAGACTCGTGTAAGAAAACGTCTTAAACTGTCAAGAGCTTTATCGCTTTGACTCTGTCCGACTCTGCAGCCAATTTTATTACAAAACCATAATGTATGTATGTATAT